CACCTCAGGGGCCAGGAACTGTCTCCTGCGCTCCTCGGGGCCTCCCTTCAGGTTTCTGGCCCTATTCACTGTGGAGGACACCACTGGTTTTTCTGTTCTCTCAGCCCGAGTTGACCCTCAGGTGAAGCCTAGACGCCACCATGTCCACCTTTTTTTTTCTTCACCTTTTGATAATTAAAAAAAAAATCATTTTCAATTGAATCACTGTGAGATAGACCCTTCTAAATGTCCAGCTTTGTGAAGCAGAAGTACAAGCCAGCGACCTGTCCAGGTTAGTTTGGACGATCATGATGGGTCATTCTCAAGAACACAAACTGGTCAAGTCACAGCAGCTCAGGGCACTTGGCTACCCCAAGCACTGGACTGGAAACAACCCCAGAGCTCTGCAATCCACCCCCCACCCCCCAAAACAAAAACAAAAAAAAACAAAAAACAACCCAAGCCAAAAACACAGAAAGCAAACAAATGGAAACCCAAATGAATCAGCAAAAACTGTTCCTGCAGTTCAGCACGCCTGAAACATATTTCAAGTCCAACAAGAAAACTGTTAAAGTTATGAGTCATTTATAATTACACAGCATTGCTGAAATCACACTGTTCTTCAGGACGAAGCTATTTTCGGAGAATTCTGATGTCATCCTGCATGCTGAAGCGGACAACAAACGATCCAGGGTTTGAAAAATGAAAACTAGTCTCATTGACAACCACGCGTGATTTCAGCTATGCTGTGGGAGAATTCCAATACGCATTCCCAGGAATATTATGGCCGTCCTAGGAAGACGAAAAACTCAGCTGGTTAAGGTTCTGTATTTCTGGTCTAGAGGTTAATTGTATTTAATCTCAACCTTCTAGGCCAGAGAGAAAGCACCACAGGCCACTGGAGTTCATCCTGGCCACCCAGGGAAGCACAGGTATGATCCTCGCACGAAGTGGTCCCCCAAGCACTACCATGAGTGACCCCCAAGCACTGAGTTGGGAACAGTCCCTGAGCACAGTGGGTGGCCCAAAAAACTAATTAAAAAATCACAAAGATGCTACTTCTTGGCCCCTGGTTTTGGAGCCATATCCTGGCTGTGCTCAGGGCTGCTCCCTCCCCTGCCCCAGCTCTGTGTTCAGGAAATCACTCCTGTCACTTGCTTGGGGACCGTATGTGATGCCCAGGACTGAACCCGGGTCAGCTGCTTGCAAAGCAAGGAATGCTCTCTATTTCTTGATGCCGTGAGGCAGTCTGGCTGAGGCACATTCCAGTGTGAGCCACTATTGTGCGTATCGGTGTCAATGTGTTGATTCTACTTCTTCACCCTCCTCATGGGCTGGAGTGATAGCACAGCAGTAGAGCGTTTGCCTTGCACACAGCCGGCCCGGCCGAGCTGGGTTTGATTCCTCTGCCTCTCTCAGAGAGGCTGGCAAGCTACTGAGAGTATCTCGCCCACACGGCAAAGCCTGGCAAGCTACCCGTGATGTATTCAATATGCCAAACACAGTAACAACAAGTCTCACAATGGAGACGTTACTGGGTCTGCTCGAAAAAATCGATGAACAACGAGAGGACAGTGACAGTGCCAGTGACCCTTCTCATCTGATCTGTCCGTGATTTGGGAGCTCTGGTCAGCCCCTCATGTGTTTCTCTCAGAAGGGTGTTTCCACGGCCTACCTCTTACCCAGGCTAGGCCTACATGGGTTTTTCTCAGAAGGGCGTTCCTCCCTCACCCTCGATAACGCAGCCCTCCCCGGTCTGCCCACTCTAACATTAGCTTGTTCCATTTTCTTCAAGCCCATGTAATTATCTAAAATTATCCTTTTTTAAAAAAAAATAATAAGTCACACATTTATTGCCTATTTTTCTCCACAGTCCTTGGCTAAAAATGGAAGTTGGTTTCCAAATCTGAAGTCTAGTTTTCTAAATGCTAGCTTGACAAATCCGCAGATCTAAGTTATTCAATTCATATATTAATTTTTATTTTGGTGGTAGCGGCAGGAGTTCAGCCCAGGATCTCACGTGTACAAGGCAAATGCTCTCCTGCTAAGCTATATTCCTGGTCTAATATGAATCATTCTGAATGTATCAAATATATATTGGGTAGTGGTTACAAAAGACTATTGAGGGATCTGTGAGTTAGACTTGTATAGTTAACTTATCCTCAGGACTATCTGATAATTTAGAGTTTGGTATGAATGCTTCTGGACTGGAGCAATAGCACAACGGGTAGGGTGTTTGCCTTGCATGCAGCCAACATGGCTGACCTGAGTTTGATTCCTCCGCCCCTCTTGGAGAGCCCAGCAAGCTACCGAGAGTATCTCACCCGCACAGCAAAGTCTGGCAAGCTACCCGTGACGTATTCGATATGCCAAACACAGTAACAAGTTTCACAATGTTTCTGGGCCCGCTTAGCAAATCGATGAACAATGGGAGGATAGTGAGAGTGATAGTGATGAACGCTATATATATATATATATATATTATATGTATATATATTTATATGTACACACTCTATGACATTTTACCATTTATTAAGATAGTAGCTACACCTGTTTATAAACAGTATCAATAATATCCCTTGGTATGAAGAAATTACTAGAAAAGCCAGTGAGGTATTTTTATGTGTATAAAACTGCACCATTGTATTCCTGGACTGCATAGCTGCATATCCAACCGCACGACACATCATAAGACACTCCCTACCCATTCTCCGTAAGTACCACACCACATTTGATGGAGTTCAAATAGTAGGCAACAAATTATAGAGGGAAATATATGTATATATATGCATATATACATAGTTTCAGATATACATATGAAAGCTCACATCACTCAACCTTTAACAACATGTTAGTGATATTCTAAAGAATGTCTTAATGGCCCCTGCCAAATTAGAACAATCTTCCCAGGGCTGGAACGATAGCACAGGGGATAGGCCATTTGTCTTGCACGCGGATGATCAGGGTTCGAGTCCCAGCATCCTATATGGTCCCCCGAGCACCGCCAGGAGTGATTCCTGAGTGAAGAGCCAGGAGTAACCCCTGAGCATCACTGGGTATGACACAAAAAGCAAAAAGAACAATCTTCACATTGTCTCCTCTATGGATACTTTTTTGTAACATTCTTAGCAGCAGTGGTTTTCCATAACAGACAATATAAAATATATCATTTCGGTTGTCCTTTGGGACAGGGATTGGGGCTTGGGATGGAAATATCCCAAATTTGGTGGTGGGAAGGTATAATGGTGGTGGGATTGGTGTTTGAATATCAACTGTAATCAAATATTATGAACCACCTTATAAAATAAAAACATTTGGAAAAAAAAAACCTGCACCATTGCTTAATGTTATTTTCACTTAGCTAACCAACTGTAGGGCATTCGCCTTACAAGCGGCCAACATGGCCAACCCGAGTTCCATTCCTCCACCCCTCTCGGAGAGCCCGGCAAGCTACCAAGAGTATCTCGCCTGCACGGCAGAGCCTGGCAAGCTCCCTGTGATGTATTCGATATGCCAAACCCAGTAACAACAAAGTCTCCAATGGAGATGTTACTGGGCCCGCTCGAGCAACCAACTGAAGGAAGCTCTGCCCGACACTTGGGTTAAAGCATCTATGCAGATGCTTTTCCAGAGTGCGACTTGAAAAGGCACGTGTGTATCCCTCTCTGCCTGTGCTAAGAGTCTGGGCTGCAGGAAACCACCCTCACTGAAAGCAAAACCACCCTTTTGAAAGCAAAAACACCCTCCCTCTGGAGAGGGCAAGAAGAATCTCCTTTGCTAGAAATCCCCATCGTCAAATATCGGTTAAAATATCATGATTTTCTCAATGACAGAGACACCGGTGCCGAGAGCCGAGGGTGATTCAGTTCAGATTATAACTCAGGAGCCAAAGAATAAGAAAAGGAGATGCACCTGGGCATTCTGCAGGCCCGGACGCTGGTGCGGGCCCCGGCGCGGTCATGTGGGTGAGTGCAATCGTGTCCCGCTGAACTCCCATCATTACTGGCCTGCCCACTTTGTGGGCTCTGGCAGGAGCCGAATGAGAAAATACTTGGAGGTCTATTAAAAGGGCCTATCTCTAAGCACTGGAAGTGTGTAAGAAAATGATCCTTAATGCTCCCCGCTCTTTTCCTCTTCATCCTGCTCTGCGCCCTGGAGTGTACCGCACTGTCAGATACGCAGCCAGCCATCACACAGCCAGCCTCCCGAAGCACACATCTTCTTTCTCAGAGTGAGGAAAGGAGCATCACTAGCTGGGAGGGCAGTTTGTTACAGAGGTCGCAGTGCTCTGATTTGTTTTTAAAGAGACTCGTTCTTTGTGGACCAGGTCTTAAAATTCTCTTTCCTTTTTATTTTTATTTGCTTTGCTTTTGGGGTCATACCCAGCGATGTTCAGGGTTTGGTCCTGGCTCTGCACTCAGGAGTTACTCCTGGCAGTGCTTGGGAGACCATTTGGGATGCTAGGAATTGAACCCAGGTTGGCTGCATGCAAGGCAAATGCCCTCCCCACTGTACTATGGCTCCAGCCCCTTCTCTTCCATTTCTATCTGTTCCTCACAGAGCACCTGCTGCACTGGCAGACGCTGTTCTCCTCGAACCCTATTCTGAGGTGGGCTTGTGACCTTCCTCACCCAACACTGCTGAGGTCTCCCACCTGCTGACCTCACCTTCCTTTTCCTTCTAGAGTAATGACAGGAAGAACAGGGGCAGAGCACCTTGGACGTTTGTCAGAGGAAGAAACTGAGACCCGAGCTCCCTTCCTGGGAAAGCTCTGCTCACTGCTCTACTCCTCAGAACTCATCTCTGAAATATGGCAACAGATGGTGGGACCCCCCTTCCCCCACCTCCACCCCCCACCCCGGCCCATGCCAGGCCCTGGAAAGCCGATCCCTGAATGACAGTACATGCTGAGTGAAACCTTTGTGTTCTACCGGCCCAAACTTGTAAAGAAGCGCCTCGAAGTTACAGGGGGAAGTCTTATGCCTAATAGATGACCTTGGTGGTCACGTTTTCCAACTTACCTCTTTTTTTTCTTATAATTTTCCAGCTGCTGTGCCTGCAGGTGCTTGAATCTCTCTAATTCACACTGCCCACATAAATCCTCCAGATTCAACAGGCCGTTTTCTATCTCCTCAAAACTAGCTTCTAAAGTAGCTGAAAGAATATAAAGTAAAAAAAAAAAAGAAAAAGAAATTAAAAAAATAAAATCAGAATCTCTGATCATGAACAAAGAGCCCCAAAGTTCAAAGTTCAAAGTGTTCTGCATGTATTGAATGTTTTCTGGGGAAGCTGTGTGTGTGTATGTTTGTGGTGGGCGGTTGTCCCAAAACGGAGCCTAGGGGCCCAGGCTCCCTCCCAACAAGTCTTAGCCAACCCGGCCATTGTTCACTGTTTGGGCCCGGGGATTAGCAGCGTCCACGCTCTTTTGGGGATCTCAAGGGTCACACCCAGCAGTGCTCAGGGGATTGTAGTGCCAGGGATCAAACCTGGCAGATCACATAAGGCCTCTACCGTAACCCCATCTCTTCAGCCTCTTAGTCTGTATACATCTGTACGTGTGTATGCATGTACATCTAAATATACAGAAATACATAGATATACACACATATTTATTTGGCTTTGGAGGCTACAATCAGCTGTGCTCAGAGCTTACTCCTGGCTCTGTGGCTCAAAGATCATTCCTGGTGTTCCTTGGAACGCCAAACCACCAAAGGTAGTGCCCGGGATCAAACCCAAGTCGGATGTGTGCAAGGAAAGGGCCTCACCCTCCATACTATCTCTCCAGGCCCTTGTAATCGTTACTAAATTTTCTTTTTTTTTTTTTCTTTCTGGGTGAGTAGAGTGATAGTACAGCGGTAGGTCATTTGCCTTGCGAGCAGCCAGCCTGGCTGAGCCGAGCCAGGTTTGATTCCTCCGCCCCTCTCGGAAAGCCCGGCAAGCTACTGAGAGTATCTCGCCCGCATGGCAAAGCCTGGCGAGCTCCCTGTGGTGTATTCGATAGGCCAAACACAGTAACAAGTGTCACAATGGAGACGTTACTGGGCCCACTCAAGCAAATCAATGAACAACAGGAAGACAGTTCTACAGTGTTTTTTAGGTCACACTCAGCGATGCACAGGGGTTACTCCTGGCTCTGCACTCAGGAATTACTCCTGGCGGTGCTCAGGGGACCCTATGGGATGCTGGGAATTGAACCCGGATCGGCCATGTACAAGGCAAACTCCCTACCTGCTATGCTATCACTCCAGTCCCCTTACCAAACTTTCCAGAAAGAAAATGCATTCAAAACGTACTACATGAAAGAAAAAACGTCAAATTATCTTTTTGGGTATAGTGTTTTCAAGTATTTTTAAGGTATAATTTTCCAAAAACACTTTTTTTTTTGGCTTTTTGGGTCACACCCGGCGATGCACAGGGGTAACTCCTGGCTTTGCACTCAGGAATCACTCCTGGCGGTGCTCAGGGGACAATACGGGATGCTGGGAATCGAACCCGGGTCGGCCGCGTGCAAGGCAAATGCCCTACCCGCTGTGCCATTGCTCCAGCCCCCCAAAACACTCTAAACACACCATTAACCAGGCTGATGGGGAGCCCCCGTGTCCTGACTAACGTGATTTCCTAACACGTGAACAATCAATTTTGAAAGAGAATAGAGCAGAAGAGAGTAACACAAATGATGCTGAACATAATCTGATACTTGAGGTTTTAAATGAACATTTGTTTTACCTCAGCACAGCAGATGCCTAAATCTTCAAAGCTCTGCAGCTATACACAAATACTGAATAACTTACACATCGCCCGGCAGCTCGAGGTGGGCAGGGAAGAGCCTGAGCCAGTGAAAGCCCACTGGGCCCTTCTAGGTCACAGAGCTTTACCGCTTTCCCGGAACAGAAAGATGCTCGAGTCGAATCACTCATTTAAATGGAGAAACCAATTCAGTGCCTGACTCCAGGGCATCTAGCGGGTAAAGGGAAGTCAGCAGTCAGAACGGAGCCCCTCTCTCCTACAGAATTTCCAGGGGTTATGGTAGCGCTGTAGCACTGTCCTCCTGTTGTCCATCGATTTGCTCAAGCGGACACCAGTAACGTCTCACAACAAACTATGAGACTTGTTGTTACTGTTTTTGGCATATCGACTATGCCATGGGAAGCTTGCCAGGCTTTGCCATGCAGGCGGGATATTCTCGGTAGCTTCTTGAGAGGGGCGGAGGAATCAAACCCAGGTCGTCCACGTCTAAGGCAAATGCCCTACCTGCTGTGCTATCGCTCCAGCCCAGGGGCTATCGGTGCTAAGTAAATATCCCTACTGTAGGGGACAAGGAGGGGATGCGTCCTAGAACACCAGAGGAATTTTCTAAGGCCCAGATTTTAAAACTCGCACAGCCCCATGTCCATCCTGTGGACAGTCAGGAGTCAGATGCTGGGATACGGGATGGAATGGCAGCCGCATGAGGGAAGAATCCAGGGAAGGGAGCTGGCAGAAAGAGGCTGCAGGCAGGGCCGGAAAGGCTGAACCCCGGCTCTGGCCCACATCTGGAAGCCCTGGCCGTGCCGTGAGGAAGGGGCTGGACGGCACAGTAGCTTTCCAGCTGTGAGACTGTGCGGAAATGGCTCCAAGACCATTGTGGAGTATGGGCTGCCATTAGCAACTGAGACTGTCTGAGAAGCTTTCATGGTTTGTTTTTTTTTTCTTTTGGGGTCACACCCGGTGATGCACAGGGGCTACCCCAGCTCTGTACTCAGGAATTACCCCCTGGAGGTGCTCAGGGGACCATATGGGATGTTGGGAATTGAACCCGGGTCAGCCACATGCAAGGCAAACGCCCTACCACTGTGCTATCACTCCAGCCCCAAGCTTTCGTGCTTTCAGGGTCAGGGACCCCTGAGCTGAACCCCGGGTATCCATACCCTCCTGCGTCAGAGACGAGTACAGCTTGTGATTTTGGTTTATGAGGATGCAATGGTTGGCCTGTTTTTAATTCATATTTGTTTGATCCATGTACTTATGAAATCCAGAAGTTTTACAATTCCCTCAGCTTTCACTTGACCGGTTGCTGTGCTTATAACAACTCCTTCAAGCTAGTTGGCGGGATCTAGAGCTGAAAGATACTGAATTTCGGGGTAAAATGAAACTTTACTGAGGGAAAAAAAAGGGGGAGGGTGCCATGTAGCTTAGCCCTGTACTTCAAGGACGTTAATCACGGGCCAGAGCAATAGTACAGCAGGCGGGATGTTTGCCTTGCACCCAGCCAACCCAGGTTTGATCCCCAGCATCCCATAGAGTGGGATGGGATCCCTAAGGCATCCCTAAGACTGCCAGGAGTGATTCCCCAGTGCAGAGCCAGAAGCAAGGCCTGAGCACTGATGGATGACCCCCCGCTACCCAAAAAAGACATTAATCATATTGATATCACAATGAAACCTACTGGATAAGTCGAAAAGACTGCTAATAATACATTCAAAAGTTATGAATCACTCTTTAGGTTGCTTAAAACAGCTAGTATATCTAATTATGAAAATCATAACTTAAAACAATTTGCAAAGCACAATATTTAATTTATGAAAAAGCGTATCTAAGAGTTTAATAATGTCATAAGTGGTGCACATGGAGGTTAAGTGGGAGGAAAAGGCATGATTATATCATACTCGTTGCTATTTAGATTTTCTTCATTATCCAATAGAAAAATTAAAATGGCCAGGACACTCGACTAGTAACACTACTCCTAAAAAGCCAGTAATACTGGTCTTGAAGAAGCAGTATTCAACTCTGTTCTATTTTACTAGTATGACAGTGTCTGAAAAGACCATCCTAGCTAACAGGATTATGAGAAGTCTATTTCACTTTGATTAGTGATAAGAACTGGAACGTTCAATTTAGAATGAGGTGGCATTTCACTCTAAGCTACTTTGTCCCTCAGTATTACACACACTACCCGGAGCACAGAAGGAACTGCTCAGAGAGGAGCTTAGATGTACAAGCTTGGAAACCCACCTCTGCCCCCTACAGGCGAGATGAAGTGTCTCACCCCAAGAAGTGGGTCACCAATGACATCCTGCAAAACCGTCAAAACACCTCACTGGGGCAAAGCAGATAACAAAACAACTATGAGAGGAGCTTGCAGGGACTAATTTTTGCTACAAAAACTTCAGAGATAAAAATGTAGATTTCCGTTTTGTAAGAGAAAGTTAAACTAACAATCCTGTCAATCAATACTGACCATCCTGTAACCACAATCTATGGATTTAACAGGCCAAATTACAAACATTCTGATTTCTTCAGACAAATTTATTTACCTGTAAATCACAGTGAGGGCTGTGGCCTTAAGCCTAAGATCTCTCATAAGGGAGGATCAGATTCCAAATGGCTTTTTAAAAAAGAATAAATGAAAACAAGCCAATAATTATATAGAAAATACATTCTTTTTACCTTTTAAATTTTATTTGAACAGATGGCAATTTCCATTTAGTCTAGCTCTGTTGGTTGACTACAAAGTTAATGAGGCCAGGATCTTAAATGAAGTTGATCCCTAGGCAAGCCAATTAATTTCTCACAGAGAGAAATTCCACGCTAGGTACAAATTGAACTTGCTCCCTTATTTCATTCTTGTGTTAATAAAATGGGGACCAGGTGAAAACAGGAGTGATTTAGTACCAATGTGGAACAATTATACAGAAAAAGAGAAATCAGATCTTGCCCTGAACAGGCCACAATGACCTCTGTGCTGAATGGCAAATCCAACCTTTCAAATGCTTCAAAAACTCTGCGCCCCTTTTCTGGCTACCACTAAATTCCCGTTTATGTCCCTCCCTTTAACAAGTTCCAAAGGAGGCCTGGGGACTGGATTCAGGGCTAGGGACCTTTCAGTGCCCATAGGAGCCTTTGTGGAGCTTGATCCTGGACTGCCCTATGGCACCAGGTAAGATCCAGGCATTGCTGGGTGCAATCCTGGGTGCCCCAAACGACACCCCCTACCAGAAGAATAAAATAAAAGCAAACAGTTTCACGGGCGCCTGAGGACCTTTCAAATCCAGTTGAATCTCCAATTTAGCATTTAGGAGACCTATGATCAATTTTTTTTCTTTCTTTTCTTCTTTCTTTTTTTGGAGGGGTCACATCCAGCAATGCTCAGGGGTTGCTCCTGGCTCATGCACTCA